GGGGGGGTTGGAGGGCGCCACTGGTAGATCCTGCTTCTGTACTTTCCCTCTGTTGTTTCTGTCTGGCTGTCTTACTTTTTTCCTAGCCCTAAATGGCCATTATTGTGTCCATGTGCTTCTCTTTACCCATGCAAACGACACAACACAGGTGTCTTGAGCAATGTGTGCTGTGTGTACTTCCGGCAGGACACGGCGGACATGACACTTGTTGCTGGTCTGCTATCTCTGCGACCCGAGTCTCTGTGCAGCTTGTTGACACACGGGGCTCATGAGTGGACGACGCGCGTGCGACACAGTCTGGGTCTGGCGTGTTCCGGCCAGCACAGACGTTTGAGGGACTACCTGCTCCTCAGGTCAGTCTGTTTCTAATTCTAACTACTGAGTACACGACAGCCTTGTTGGTTCATATATAGCTACTGAGTACACAGACGTGTTGGTTCATATATAGATACTGAGTACACAGACTTGTTGGTTCGTAGCTACTGAGTACACAGACTTGTTGGTTCATATATAGCTACTGAGTACACAGACTTGTTGGTTCATATATAGCTACTGAGTACAGGACAGCCTTGTTGGTTCGTAGCTACTGAATACACAGACGTGTTGGTTCATAGATACTGAGTACACAGACGTGTTGGTTCGTATATAGATACTGAGTACACAGCTTTGTTGGTTCATATGTAGCTACTGAGTACACAGACGTGTTGGTTCATGTATAGATACTGAGTACACAGACTTGTTGGTTCGTAGCTACTGAGTACACAGATTTGTTGGTTCATATATAGCTACTGAGTACACAGACTTGTTGGTTCATATATAGCTACTGAGTACAGGACAGCCTTGTTGGTTCGTAGCTACTGAGTACACAGATGTGTTGGTTCATAGATACTGAGTACACAAACGTGTTGGTTCGTATATAGATACTGAGTACACAGCTTTGTTGGTTCATATGTAGCTACTGAGTACACAGACGTGTTGGTTCGTATATAGATACTGAGTACACAGACGTGTTGGTTCGTAGCTACTGAGTACACAGACGTGTTGGTTCGTATATAGCAACTGAGTACACAGCCTTGTTGGTTCGTAGCTGACAGGTTTGTCTCTCATGCCAACAACTTGTTGTGATTCCCAAGCTTTGTCTGATCATTGTTCATGTTATGTGGAACGTACTTCATTCCGCTCCGATCAAACAAATCTCTGTGTGTTTCAGAACGTTGGAGAAGCTAGCCCTGACAGACCTGTGCAGAAGGGGCTCCCAAGTGCCCTCTTGTGTCCTGTCTGCCTACTGTCAGCTGCTGGGACATTATTTTGAAGACACAGATTTCGTCTCTCAGGTATCTGTGAAAACCCTTTGAAGGAATGACTTAATCAATGTAGATATATACAGTGGAACTTGGATTCAACAAGCTCGGATTCAACGAGAACTTGGATTCAACGAGCTGAGATAGATTCCCCGTTTGTTTTCTTCTTCAAAATCAATAAAAATAACACGGATTCAAAAGAAAACGTAAATCAGCGAGCTCGAATTCAACGAGGTCGCTGCCAGGGTAAACAGCCCCCACAGACGTGGCTTCACTCATTTTTCTCCCAGAACGAACTTTATCTTTTCCCGGAAACCATCCATTGCACCTGCTTCGTGAACCATTATTCACTTAGCTGGGATGGGCGGCCTGCACATGGGCGGCTGTGTGTGAGTGTCGGGGAGGGGTCGCAGATACAAACGCATCTCAGTCTTTATTTCCCCCTCGGCAACTGATCATTATTACAATGATAATCTAGTCTTGACATAGATCTACGTAGTGAATTGTGCACTGGTCTATGGAATCAAAAGTTGCCGTATGCTCGGCTCTACACAGCAACACAACTTTTTGGTAAGCAATCGAGATGACACAGGCATGTGTATTTGAACGAATCGGTCTTTTTTTTTTACACAGCTCATAATATGCAAGCATTTCAGGCTCTACTTGTGACTTTTCTTTATACATAACTTGCTCGTTGCCTGTAATTATCTACACAAAACCCCGTGCTTGCTATAACGAACCCTCGGATTCAACGAGATTTTAGATCAGGCCCGGTGACCTGGTTGAATCCGAGTTCCTCTGTATGTATATGGTAGCCTCCATCGAAGACCCCACCGCTCATGATCCCGGTTTCCTCAACTTAATCGAAAGAAATCAGGTGCTTGTCAAAATAACGAAATCGAAGAAACAAGTAGTTTTACTCCATTTTGACAATTTTATCCAAAATTTTTATGTCCATATCAAACACATTTCCATGTGAATTTTACTGAAAAACGTTGAGTGAAGGCAGAAAATATGTAATTTTTCAGTTTTCGAAGACTCTCAAGCTATTAAAGTTACCGAACTTTGGTGGCCATTTTCTCACTAATTTTAACACTGATACCAGGCAACCTCATCTGCTTCAATAGCAAATGTCTTGTTTACTTGCTTGTTTACTTGTTTGAAGGACCGACATCACTGCACAAGGGGCACTCCCATAAGCGCTCCGTCCCCTGAACAAGCACATCTCCAAGTGTGTAGATGCTGACGGTTCCAAGTAAGACCAAGCAAATATCTTGACTTCTATTCCAGCTAGATGGATAATTTTTTACATTGAAAGCACAGCAAATGAATAAACTTTTTGGTGATATCAGTCACTCCACATGCACAAAGTTGATGAGCGCCTGATTCCACCGCGTCATACCACATTTGTTGTTCCTTATATACATTTGTATTTCC